GGAAACGACTTCACACAGAAGGGTAATCAAGAGGTGAATAATAACAACAACATCAAACTGCATTTAAATAGTACCTTTGACATCAGGGCGACATCCCAAGGTGCTGGACAGTCAAGGATTTGCACCCGAGCTGGGTGTTGGAATCAAGAGGGGTGGAGACTAAGTAGGGAGAGGATGACTGAAACCACGGGCAATGAGGAAGGTTGTGAAACAGGCTTTGAAGGAGACAAAGGAGATGGCAAGGTGAAGAGATTCTGGGATGGAGTTCCAGAGGGTAGGGCAGAAATGCTGGAGACCCAACAACTAATGATGGGGTGGGTGGGGTGGGGACATGAAGCAATGTCTGTAAGTACAGCTTAAAAAAGGATCTTGCTCTTACAATTGTACAATATAATAGCTATAATACAATTAGAATAATAATAATAATAACTGATAATTTGGGATCAAGTTACCAGTAATTGAAGTAGGCATTATAATGATGGCTGCTTCATTGACCGGGCCAATGAACTAGTAACAAAGATGTACCAAATAAATCTCAATTCCAGATGAGATTTCTCTTTGCTATTTGTTTTAATGTGACAGAATACCTGTTCGCATGCACGCCTACCTACAGAGCACAGCATTCCTGTCAATTACTGCAAGCAGTGGGGGTGGGAATGAATCCTTCATTGGTGACGTATTTGAGGTAAAGCAGAAATGCCAGTTGACAGGTAGGAATTTCAATCCACTGGCTGAGATTTGACATGACCTAAGGTTAAGAGAAACTAAATCTTTACCCTTATGAAAATAGGATCCAATCTTAACGCGGAATGAAAAGTGAGATCTAATCGCTTTATTGACTTTCCTTCCAAACCGATAACGTCGCTGAATACTGTCTGGTATAGCAAACAGAGTATACCCTAATCGAAGGGTAGATCCTGATTAAAAGTCATAAAGTAAATATGTATTTTCTCTTTGATGTAAGAGCATGTTTTGGAAACACTATCGCAAACATTAGCCCCAAAACGGCTGATAACATTTCAAATTTCATAATCTCCTTTGGGTTTTGAAAGGCATCAGTTTTTGACATTGGTGTCGAACGGGCAGAGATCCATAATTGGAGCCATTGATAGCTGCTCCGAGTTGTAAATAGTAACTGCTCCCGGAAAGCACAGCCACATAGTGTCAAAGCTCGGGAAAACCACTCCATCGCATCGACTCCAGTTACCGGAGTTTACGTGAGTCAGCGGGACACACTACAGGTTGCCAGTGGTAGGCACTTTACGTGACTCGGTGTCACTATTCTCAGCTTCAGTTACAAATCGTCACACATTTAGATCCTATTGTGGTTCTATTAATGTGAACAACCAGTAAACAGGCTGGGGCATACACTGAGGTTTTCCTTTGCTCAGAGGGCAATAAATGATTGGAACAGGTTGCCAGGAAGAGTGCTTGAGGCCAGGGAAAACTGGGACCCATTTAAAAAGCAGCTTGATGTTGTGATGGATGGACAGTATTCTGGAAGGATGAGATCAAATGGGTTCTTCATCTGAACTAATATTTTTATCTTGTGAATCCGTTTATCAAAACGTTATGTTAACTTAACAACAAAGTTTCAAACTGTCAGAAGCTTCAGCAATATTCTTTTTCTAAACAGTTTTATGTTCAATGATCTCACATAACATTGCTACATGCCTTATTTTCAGTCATTTTTATTTCATACAGTATTTCTCTTTCCGTAGTTGTTCTTGACCTTTACGTTCCTTTCGACCAACAACCTAACCATCACTTCCTTTCACAGGGATTTCATAACTATTTAGAAACATGATCTGTTAAATGTTTGATAAATGTTTCTTTCTTGCCTCATAGACCAGATTGCTACCAACTGAGCCAAGATGACAGTTAAATTGCACAGGAAATAGCATTAAAAAAGAAATGCCAAAGTATTCATAGCTCCTTCAGCATATCTTGGATGGAAAATCTATTGAAATTGTCGTAACACGTTTAAAACGTAGCTAGATTTATGCTTGTGCACTGTGTGACTCCAAACATATTCACTGCTGGAATTGCTGAGATGATAAGCACAGCTTGAAATTATGATAGAAATGTCACAATATGTGCTGGCTTTAAATGAGGATAGCATCGTTGCTTGTGATGGTCAAGCAGGGAGGGCATGGCTCATTAAACCGACAAGAAAATGACGTCAAATAAAAACACAATGTACAATTCAGAAAATAGCTTTGTCTTGAGATCAGTGTTTACGACACCCATGTTTCCATCTGTACTGCGTAATCTTTTATGGTGAGCTCTCTTTCGCCCACAAATATACAGTCAATTCACTTTACAGTATATTCTGTGAAGCGCTTTGGGACGTCTAGAAGACGTGAAAAGCGCTATATCAAATGCAAGGATTATTATTATTATTATTATTAATGACAGTTGCAATATGAGGATGACATGAAACACCTTTCAAGCATATTTTAAAAATAAAAATGGCAAAGTGAGAGAGGCCAGTTATTTCCATTATCTCATCTATTAAAAGGATTCTCTGTGTAAGAAGTGCAGGTTTGCAGATGAGACTTTAAACCGCGGTTCCATCTGCCTGCAATCCCCCAGGTAAAATTGGTCATTTGTTTCCTGGTTGTTTGTGAGACATTGCTGTGTGCGGATGGCTGCCACATTTAACTTTAGCCATTAGGGACGTCCTCCCGACGTGAAAGGCGTATACAAATGTAATCTTGTTGTTGTTGTTGCTATACTTTACAGTGTATCCTGTGAAGCAGTTTGAGACGTCATCTCAATTTCCGTGAAAGGCTCTATAACAAATGCAAGTCAAGCATTCTTTAAAACTTAAACCTGTTCCTGACAGTTGGCAGAGGAACACCAGCTTTCAATAAACGAACTATTTAAGTTAAAGTAATTCTAAACACCGTAATCTACATCTAGAGTCAATTCTTATATGAAAAAAATGTGATGTTTTTTTACAACGTAGGCTGAATTTTAGGTCCTGTACTGTTATGTAAACATGGCTATTTGGATTGTAGAAAATGTAAACATACATGATAAATATTAGACTCTCAGAGAGGTGAGAATGGAGGTCTTGAATCATTAAATGGAACTAGAACATTAGAAGTATGTGTGTCACGTAGTATATTGAATGTTGTTCCTATGTAGTGGAACCAGTTTGTCTGACATTTGGCACATATTTCTTATTGTAAACACAATGATGGCAGAAGAGACCTAATTTAGGCTGAGTGAGCATCAGTAGAAACTCGCTTGACTTTTTTTTTCTATTTTTCCCTCTATCACCCTAATCTTGCTTGATCCAAGCCAGAAAGACACAATATTGGAATTTCCGTGTGTAGGTGGCATGCAACTCATTTTAGTTTGGATATTCTTAAGGGTAGTGATTGGATTCTGCATGTGTCAGACCCCAAAAATAGAGAAGTTGGTTATTTTTCTCAGTAATTACAATAATGTAATTATTGCAACCTGTGCGCCATTAATTTGATTAATCAAGAATTTGTTCTAAATAATAACTCTGTCAACAATGCAGTTACTTATTTAAGACCTAACCTGACTGGACTCACATTATATCTGCTACATGTTTGGCTTGCAAGGCTGTGAATTGAAACACAGCTAGATTGAATCCCTTCATAATCTTTTGCTTTTTCATTGTTTTCAAAGGCAATGCTACATGTGAAACACTAGTTGTTAAATTGTTAATGATTTGGATTGTGTTTCCTCGACCCTAGGAAACAGATATTATTGATTACAATTCAACTTTTTATTACAATTCTATTTTAAAATTTAAAAAGCAAACTATTGTCCTTCAGATGAGATGTTAACCCAAGGTCCCATCTGCTTGTTCCGTGGAGTGTCAATGATCCTATATCAAAGGTAAGGATTATTATTATTTATTGTTATCCTGTGGCTTTTCAATGATCTCTTTGAAAAGAGATGGAAATTTCTCGGTGTGTGATCCCTCAAATAGAATTGGTCATTCATTTTGTGCCTGTTTGTAAAACATTTCTATGGGCAAATTGGCTGCTGCATTGGCATCCAAATACAACCAATACTACATGTTATAGTATATCGTGTGAAGCAGCTTGAGACACCCTCCTGACATAAAGGGCACTATATCGTAGAGTCATAGTATATTACAACACAGGAGGCCATTCGACCCATCGTGCCTGTGCCAGGTCTTTGGAAGAGCTCTCCAAATCAATCCCATTCCCCCGCTCTTTCCCCATATGATTGCAAAATTTTCCTCTTCAAGTACCTATCCAATTCCCTTTTGAAAGTTGTACAGAAACAGGCAGTGCATTCCAGACCGTAACAACTCTCTGTGTAAAAAAGTCTCCTCATCTCCTCTCTGGTTCTTCTACCAATTATCTTGAATCTATGTCCCCCAGTTAAAATTTTAAATAAAACTATTATCAAATGTAATCATTATTTATTTGTATTTCTCTTTGGGCCGATTCATTCAGTTTTCAACATAACAGCAGATTAACAAATATTAACAATGGTGCTATATGAGCAGGAATCACATGAAGTATTTGTAAATTTGCAGTTTGCATAATTCAATTGTACTGGTTGTGAAATATCCGCATTATTGCTGTAATCCAATACAAAACATGATTGAAATATTTGTCGTGGCAATAGAGACCTATGACATAATTTATCTGAACGGAATCTACAAAGTAGAGGAGTGAAGGTTGTACCAGCTTTGTTGAAAAGGCGGGCTGTTCCATGGTAATTAGTCAATGTAGCTTTGTGTCACTTTATTTAAAGTTTACAATTTGGCAACTCCAGTTATAAAGAGCTGTCGCTGGGTCTGCAGCCATACAGAAGAAAGGCAGAAAGCCACAAGACAAGACAAACTTGTTGATCTAACCATCAATCTCTGCCTTCAGAGTTTAAACAATCCACCCGCAGGAATTCCCAAAGATCCAGCGGAGAGAGCTGGATTAAATTTCTTTACAGAACAAGTGAAGGCATTAGCATTTTTGGAAGGAAAGAATGGTGTGGATATTTTTGTGGATATTGCTCATATCTTGTCTCTGCATTGTTTTGTATCTCAAGAAAAGGAGAAAAAGGTAAGTTGAGTAATTAACTCAAATATTTTTCACTTTTTGCTTTTTTCTTAGTCACAAATAAGCAGAATCAATTCAACGTTAATATTGAGAACTAATTTCTAGACGTGTGGTAAAACATGTTTTACATAGTTTATTCACAAGTCAAGTAGCATTTATGTTAAAAAAAATTGATCACTCAATCCACGACTGTTTGTGGGACACTGCTGTGTGCCTTTGGCTGTCGCATTTCACTCACAAAATACACAGTAAATCCACTTAACAATATATACTGTGAAGCACTTTGAGACGTCTCAACGATGTGATTCAGCGCTAAATCAAATGCAAGGATTATTATTTTAAAACGTTCAAGAAAATGAGTTGACCAATAGCTATGAAAGCGTACAGAGAGACCAGACTATCCAAACTACGGCATTTGGAAGAAACATTTTACAATATGAGGATGATAGTTTTCTTAACAGTAGTCACATAACTGTACTAATTTGCTCAGACAAAAAACAATTGGAGGCAGCCAGCACATTTGAAAGCAATAGTCCGGCATCATTTATCTTCTTGTCCAGAAAGTTGTTCAGATCACACCTGGAGACCTTCCTCTATGACCTTCCCACCTCCCCTCTCTCCCCAGCTCGGTGCTATGCTCTGCCATTTTATAGTACTGCCTCGCGTAGAGGTCACGATATAATAATAATTATCCTTGCATTTTGATATAGCGCTTTTCATGATGTTTCAAAGCGCTTCATAGGATATACTGTAAAGTGAATTCACTGTATATTTTGTGGGCGAAACACAGCTGCCAATTGCACACAGCAGCGTCCCCCCACAAATAGTCGTGGATTGAAGTGACCAATTTGTCATTGTTTTTTTTCCTTGAGGGATTATTATTAGGCGTGTGGAATAAGGAAACTTGCCCAAGGTTTTGCCCTACCGGGAATTGAACTCCGGTCTCTCGCTTGCGAGGCGAATGCTCTAACCACTGAGCTACAGGACTCCTAAAGATACAAGTTGTTGTTGTTGTTGTCGAGTCCAGGTTCAGGGTGAACATCCATCTCAGGGTAAACAAAGTGACCATCACCTTCAGAGGCAATAGTGCTTTTCACGTATACCATATTTGCAGTGCTCATACCGAAGATTAGGGGTCACTGAACTTTACTATTGTGCCAGAAACCAAAGACTGAACTATTAGTGATGTTAATTATGTAGAGAAATCTTATCCCAAAGCATAAGGAGATTAAAAAAAGTCTGTTTGCATCAAGTGCAACAATTACAAAGTTAGGACTTGATTAAACTTGGTGAATTCATGGTGAGTTTTAGAACTGCCTGAAATGGGATCACAACCTAATTTGGTAAACGGAAAACAAATTCTAGTTAGTTTTTCAATTCATTCTAAATGTCAGGAGCACAGAGAATAGTGGAAGTTCTTGAGACTTTTGTGGAAAAGTGTGTAATCTTTTGTATCTCAAACAACAACCATGAAAAGGGTCATTAGTAGGACTGTAACTGGAAAGGGTTGAAGTCGAAGAAAAGCAGAAGAGAGACCGATCTACCGTTGAATATAAAACTGTGGGAAAAATCTTAAAATGGTGAAAACAAATGAAAAGATAAATCCATAGTTCATAAACGTTTCTGTCGCATTCGTTAGAAGGTTTAGCCGAGATCAATCATATTCAGGCTGGGCACGGCGAGGTAAAATTCAGGTCAGCTTAAATTAAGTTAAATTGCATGCTTTATGTTTGGGACGTACTCTGACTCAGCTACTTGGGGGAAGAGAACACATGAAACCTATCCTCTGAGAGTCAGGGTGAACGCTCAAGTGATTTGCTGGCTGGAATCCTTGCCAATTTTTGCAGTGGGTGTTCCTCCCATTTAATGATCCTTTTTTTCTATCGCTTCAAAACTGCTCGGCCAAGGCTTGCGTTAGATAGCAGGAGTTTTGTGTTGAACTTCATGTCACGACTATTTGCTTCAATAGCACGGATGGGGAACGTTACAGAAACTGCAGCATAAGTTCATCAGTCTCGCTTGGGACATCCCCTCCCTCCCTCCCTCTTTATAATTTTCCTTAGGAAATGTAAGAAATGCATGTTAAAATAGGTGGGTGTTCTCTATAAATAAATATCTGATTAACGTAGCAGAGATTACAATGCACTAGTTATGTGGCAAGATCAAGGTGGGAGGAAACAAAAACCGGCACGCACTCAACGCCTACGTGTTCTGCCTAAAGCTGTCTGTATTTGGTTTTGAGGTGTGTTTCCTCAGACCAAGACTGAACCAAGATTGCAGCAAAACCATTTACATGTATATAAGCGACTTTCGCATCATGCCTCAAAGCGCTTGACAGTGCAAACGACATTGCAAACGCCTTTGTCGGGATGCTCGTGTTTTGCAAGGCATGATATTAGCCTAATTCCCCTGATCTAAAGTGCTCAAAAATGGTCAGATTTAAAACAGAAGCTGGAACCAAAATTACAAAACGTCAACATCTGACAAGGGAAATACTTGCTCCAAGGGGAACACTTTGAATTGTTAAATATACAGACAACTATCATTAAACAGCTTGTGGTGAGCAAATATGCCTGGATTTAGCTCTCTCTCTGAGTGAGAATGTGAAGGAGGTTGAATGGAAAAGATGATTAAGGGAGGACAAAGAAATATGTTTGATCGGAAGTGAGCCAGATGAATGGATTTCAAACAAAAAATCAGAAAAACACAAGAGAAGAGTATGGGGAACAGAATAAAATACAAGGAAGAGAAGAGCATAAAGAAAGAAGGGAGCATCAGAGAAAAATAAACTGTATATATATGTTCTATATATGCACAGCCAATAAAACACTCCATAGAAACTATGGACATTTACAGCACAGGAGGAGACCCTTTGGACCATCTTATCTGTGCTGGCTCTTTTAAGAGCAATTCTTTGTATCCCAATCTACCTGCCGTTTCCACCTACTCCTTTTTAGGTATTTATCTAGTTCCCTTTCAAAAGCGCTACAGAACGCTAGCACATCCGACGGGCGCTGTACAAATGCAGGTAGTTGAACGCTAAAATGGATTCTTCCTCGACCGCAACTCCCGACAAGGCATTCCATATTCTAACTGCTCTGCGCACGAAAAGAAATTCTCCCAACCTCTCCACCAAGGAAAAACCTGGTCACAAGGGTACCGCGTGGTACTTTCTTGCGCGCTCAAAGTCCTTTGCGTTCAGGGAGGTAGAAAAAGAAGGGACAACCTGTGGTCCCCAGGATAATAATAATAATAATAATAATCCTTGCATTTGATATAGCGCTTTTCACGTCAGGAGGACGTCCCAAAGCGCTTCACAGAACACACTGTAAAGTGAATTGACTGTATATTTGTGGGCGAACGCGGCAGCCAATTGCGCACAGCAATGTCCCACAAACAATCGTAGATTGAAAATGACCAATTTAATTATTGTTTTTGGTTTTTTGGAGGGATTATTATTAGGCTCTGTGTGGAGTAAGGAAACTTGCCCAAGGTTTCGCCCTCTGCCTGGAATTGAACTCAGGTCTCTCACTTGCAAAGCGAGTGCTCTAACCACTGAGCTACAGGACTCCACAAATGTGTCTGATTGTGATGAAAGCAGGGTGCCCTTGCGAAAACGGTGAGGTTGCTGAAATGTTTGAAGCGATACAGCAACAGAGATCACATTGATGTCACAAGGCTGAAAGGAAGGGTATAAAAGAACAGAAATGAGATGTCATCCATATCACGATGGCCCCATTGGGTGTTGCCTCATGCACCCCCTTGTGGCCAGATCTGAGCAGCCACAGTGATAGACCTGGAAAAAGCTCTGAGTGCTGAGGTGCGATGAGCCACAGTCAGGGAGCGGGGAAATATCTATATTAAAAACCTATGCAAATTCAGTCTTTTAATCCTTTGATTTCAAGTCTTTTTAAATACTTGGAATGAACGACTTGAGGTTTGCCCATCGTTGCAGCTTAGGGATTGCATTCACAAAATAGAATGTCAGTTTCTCCGAACACACCATCCACTGTGTTTTTTTTGAAAGATCAACATTTTTTTTCTTTTTTTAAAAAATAAAACACACTGCAGCGTTTAAGGTCCCGGACTCAAGCTCTGCAGTGAAGATAGGGATGTAGTTTGGGACATGACATGTGTAAGCGACTGCCAGGATGGTGGAAGATGAACTGGATGGACCTTGGACTTCTTAAGTCTAGCAATTCTTATAATAATAATAATAATAATAATAAATAATAATAATCCTTGCATTTGATATAGCACCTTGTCACATCTTCAAGAGCTATTATTATAAGATATATGACTTATTATTATTAATAATTATTATTATTATTGTCCTTCCACTGATGTGGTTTTATCCCATTTTAATGATGAGTTTAGAGTTAACTGGATTTTTTTTAAATAACACAGAATGTCAAATGAGCCACCTCTCGATAAAGGTCTGGTCCCTTGGTTGGGACACGCTGTGGAATTTGGAAAGGACAGTGCAACCTTTTTATTGAAAATGAAGAGAAAGCATGGAGATATTTTCACAGTAAGAATTCTTTTTACTATTTTATTCTTTACTACTTTAAATGATTTTAGAATTGACTGCATTTAGAATTGAACGTGTTAATTGTGCAAACTCCCAAATGCATTATTTCCTTAACATTGGTTGCTTCTTTGAGCAGTATCTGTCATTATATATTATCTCATTGTGGGACCAGGTGTAGCAATTAGAGCACTGCATTCCCTGCTCAAAGTTCCTGACAGCGTGAACTTTTTCGAGTCCCAGCTCAGGAAGAGTAGCAGAAAACCTGGTCACTCAATCTATGACTGACAAAATATACGGTCAAATGCAAGGATTATTATTATTATCATCATCAAATATTATTATAGATATTATTATCTAACATGTGGACTGTCAATTTTTTTAAAAATTATTTTAATGTAACCTTATTTTAATCCCCATTACTGGTATGGTTGCAACAACTTTAAAGGATAACTGCTTACATTTCGCTATGCATCTGTACACGTTAAAACAAGTCAACCACACACACTGCCATCTAGTGTCACCTCTGTTTCGCACCCGGCTGAGTATCATCAATGAGAATACACAACAACAAGGGGGACCTCAGCGCTGAACCAAAGGCAGTTTAAACAATGTTAAAATCTGACCTTGCAATAATAAGTTACATAAAGGCCAAGAGAAAGAAGTACAGTAATCACTTAAACATCTCATGTTGCCATATGTGTCGATTCAGAAGGGAATGTTTTGGAGAAACTTGTTAATAATAATAATACTAATCCTTGCACTTGATCAAGCGCTTTTCACGTCTTCTCGACGTCTCAAAGCGCTTCACAGAATAGACTGTAAAGTGAATTGACTGTATATTTGTGGGCGGAATGCAGCAGCCAATTGCGCAGAATCTGCACTACGTACTGTACTTTTTGTGTTCATAGGTTCAAATGGCAGGACGTTTTGTGACTGTATTGCTTGATCCCCATTCATATGATTCCGTCTTGTGGGAGTCGACTGCAAAACTGGACTTCGCGGCATATTCACGTCTTTTAATGGATAGAATATTCGATGTTCAGCTACCTAACTATGATCCCCACAAAGAGAAGAATATGATGAAAACGTGTGTATTCTCTATATTTTTTTCGATATTTCGATATGTGCCTGCCACATTGTTAGTGTACTGCATCAAATATTACCCCCTTAAACGTAAACCTTTGTAATATTCTGTGTAATGTTTCCTCTAGTTTTGTCCATTTAGTGATGCCTGTTTTAAACTGCCTGATTATGGTCACTGATATCCTTGTTGATATTGCAAGAGTGATATGAAACACTGAAGTCTTTTGTTAACTAACCAATGGACTTTGGCGTATAAACAATCGAATACACCTCTGACTTTCATCGAGCCCAATTAAATAAGCTTCACGCGATTTCTTTAAAAGCACCAAGTACCCTCTGGAGGCTCAGCAATCTCTCGACTAAAACACAGAAGTATAAGGTAACAAATAAGGGTAGTGAAAAATTGTGTCATTAAAACTGTAACGATCCCGTGAGCTGCATCGATTTATACAGTACACACAATACACTGGACGTGGTGAAAATTGTCTACAATTCGCAGACAATTCAGCGTTCATGTCGCCTATTGAATTGTTCAAGAATCTAAGGTCCAGCATTCTGCTGCCTGCTATGTTGTGATCTCTATGGGGCAGACATTCTGCCTGGGTCTAGATTTACTCTATTCTCTTAGCACTTCAGGGGGTGTAGAATTTGGTAAAATCCTTAAATTCAGCCTTGCTCTTGAAACCGGTTTGAAAGATCTTACAGAAAATCAGCCTCAAAGTTAAAGCGGTCATGTGTCATCATGACTGCGTGTGTATCTGTTGGCAAACTGAAATGCTACCGAAAGCAATTCTGAGTCCCAGTTGGAATGTCTAAATAAAGGCACTGCTTCAAGCCAGGTTTTGTCAAGAAATAAAGTTTTGCTTTAAATCCCTGAAAACATAACCGCAAATTAATGGACGATCGGCCCCTTTTTGCGCATTTGCATCACATTTCACTTAATGAAAGTGACTTGGGGCTTTACAAACATATGCAAAGGTGAGGAAGATCAGATCTGCGATGAAGAGACGTGACTTGAAGATGAGCTGAAAATTGTTCAGCGTGAGATTGATTGGTGTGTGCGTATGTGTGTCAGAAAATGATCAGCTGCTTCATCAGAATGGTCAATGAACTATGACACCTTTATATGAAGGATCAGTTATTTATAGGGGGAGAGCACTCAAATCAGTGGAGAAACAAAGTCAGCCTTCTCCAAGGGCATGCGATATAAGACGTCATACGATTGGCGTGGGTCTACGGGGGTGGAGGAAGGGAACAAACTGAATTATTATAGAGCAGGTGGGAAAGAGAGAGGCTAAAGGTTCTGGAGGCTGACTCAGCAAAGATGAGCTGGTCTTAATTTTTAGTTTATTAGGCTTTAAAAGGGACCGGAAAAAAAGAATGACAACCGTACTGGATCAAAAGAAGAGTTAACAGTTCACTTGGCGCTTGAAAATATTTTATTTAGGGGAACAGGTAAAAAAAAAGTAGAACTTTATGGTCTTCGAAATGTAATGCAATATTACGTGCAATAAAAAATTATGTTAAGCCAATTAATGATATATTTTACCACCGCTTATTTCTAACATGCAGCGGTGACAAGAAACCAGCGTGGCCCCACTGGTGAAATATCACCTCATAATTTTGTATTCTGAAACGATTTCACACTCCAGCTCCCGCTATCAATTGCATCAACAGACTTTGTCAATGGGGTGATTGTGCATTCTGATGATCTTTCAGAACCAGGCTCACGCCTGAAGCATTCGTAAGTAATGGATTTCTTTCCTCTAGTGGGAAGACCTGAGCTTGCCACAAAAGGCGGAGAGAGAGAATGAGAGAGAGAGAAAGAGTGGTGAAATGGAGGACATTGAATCTTTAATTCAAAGTACAGGATTTGAAAATAGGTGCATCCCTCCCTTTCATTGCAAGAGAAATGTACAGAGAGATCATTTCTAGTGGAGACAGGATTCGATCCAAGAAAACAAATGCTCTTGAAGTCACGTCCCTTTGAAGACGTGATGTGGAAAGATCATAAATCTGGAAATGACAGAACTAGTTGCTTGGCACCCTTGAAAATTCACGTGCCCACTTCTCTCCTCATTCACATCCATGACTTTCATTAAATAATTCTGGACCATATAAAGAAAATTAAAGAGTTGACCTGTAACAGTTATGGACACTCAACCAACAGAGAATAGTTTTCTTTCAAAACAAAATGGTCCCGATATCATTACGCAAAAGACACTTATGGTAGTTAATACTGATCCTTTTGTATCTCTAAAGGCAACTGCAAGGGGAAAACCTTTCCACATTGACACAAGCAATGTCATCCAACCTCCAAAATGTTTTGCTGTCTGAAGCAAAGGGAACAACGAAGACGTGGATGAAAGAAGGACTATTTAACTTCTGTTACAACATCTTGTTCAGGTAAAGTGCTTTGATGGTGCATAAATAGTGCACACTTTGCTCGAAAATGTGGACAATACTAGACTGACTCAGTTGGTAGAACTCTTGCCCCTAAGTCAGAAGCCACAACCCGCTGATTCCGCTCAACTGGCAACGGCTTTCTGCATGTCCGCCCTCTGTTCCACCGTTGGTGACCGCACTTTTAACCACAGGCCCCGATTCTCTGGAACACTCTTCCTCTATCCTTCCGCCTTGTCCCTTCCTTCCCCATTTTCAAGTCTCGCCTGAAGAACTTCCTATTCCACCATGCCTACAGTCATGTCATGACTTGAGGTCTTAGCTCAGGTTGATGCTCCAGTGCAGTGCTGAGGTTGTGCTGCATTGTTAGAGGTTTTATATCAAGGACCTCTCCTCCTGTTCAGGTGGATGTAAAAGAACCCATGGCACTACCTGGAGAGAGAATGGAGTTTCTTCCATTGTCCTGGATAAAATTGGACATTCACTGCATAGCTCATTGTACAGGACAGAGAAAATAGAGAGTAAAATATATTATGTTCTACGTATTATATCTGAGCTTTTTTTAAAAAAAAGACTGATTAATTCAGATCAGAAACAAATGTTAAGTTATTTTGTCATTCAGGAGAGCGTATAATATAATCTTCATGTATACAATTAATACCTAGGAATGTGATTACTCCGATAACAGTCTTTCCCTTGCTTAATTAGGGCAGGATATCTTACGCTGTTTGGAAATGAACGTGAGCATAGTAATAAGGAGACGTCAAAAAACAAAGACAGGATTCATTCCGAAACTGTCTACCATGAATACAGGAGACTTGACCAACTATTGATAAAATTAGCCTATTCAACCCTATCTGCTGGTGAGTAATTAGCAAATAATCTGTAATATTCACAGGCCATCTAATATTGTTGATGGAAAAATAATAAATCAGAGTATCAGAATTTCATTTACGATTCCTGCAGATCTAATAAGCTTCCATGTTTATTTTGGTGATGATCGCAATAATGTCACATTTTTCTAAGGAACTTTAATTAAAATCATTTCCAGTGGTGCTGAAATCAACCATTCATTTCATTATTGTTAGATGAGAAGAAGGAAGCAGCTTCGGTGAAGAAACGCCTCTGGAGCTTACTGTCTGGAGAAAATCTCAATGGCAAATTGAACAGGAGCAACTGGCTCGAAGGTTACAGAAATCATCTTCAAGATTTGGAGCTACAGGATGACATGCTGGCCAGGGCAATGGTGCTGCAGATCTGGGCCACTCAGGTAACCAGTTATTGTGTGAAGGAGAAACTTTTCCGAGCATAAAGCAATGATCCTTCATTGCTAAAGGAGAGAGAGAGAGAGAGGGAGGGAGAGGGAATGCCTCTTGTGTTTTCATATCTACGCGAAATTAGATATGAATTAACGGTTTTCAAGTTAAATTCACTGCTTCAGGTTTCTTAAAAGCAATCTTCGGGCAGTGCCAGAGAACATTGGTTCACATAACGGCAATCAAAGCAGCTGAACCTGTTTACTGGGAAGGACTGTTAGAGCCAGGACACTGGATTCATTTAAGAAACAGATTGAACATGGCACAATCCGAAAAGAGAAGGCAGTTTCTTCCAGTGTCCTGGTCAACAAATCCCCCAAATAAAATTGATCACTCATGCCATGGCTGTTCGTGGACATTACTGATAAACTGGCTCCCACATTTCGCCCACAAAATACATAGTCAACAGTATATCTTGTGAAGACGTCTTGACGATGTGATAAGGCGCTGTGATAATATGAAATGCAAGGATTATTATAGATTCAAAGTGTCCTGGATAGCAGTTTCTTTAAAGATGGACTGTAAGCCCACATTAATAATAAAAATAACAATCCTTGCATTTGTTACAGTGCCTATATAATCGAGAACGTCTCAAAGTGCTTCACAAACTTGCCGTGAAGTATAGCAACTGTGTATTTGTAGGAATTAATATACTAAAAGAAACACCTCCATCTAGTAAATTTAAGTCTAGACAAGAGACAAAGCTATTTTTGTATAGTGGTTTGTGTGCAATCTGCAACTGAGAGTTAAAAAGCAATATTGGTAAACCAAAATTGCGAATAGCAAGACTACTCTGATAAGTCGTTTAAAATGTGAATTGGCAAAGGGAGAAGAGTATCTAAGAAAACCATTGCCAAGAAATTTGAAACATTTGTTTTCAGTCGAGGAAAAAAGAGAGGCACAGCATTTAGCACTTCAGGGAGCAGCTGAGCATCAAAGAAAGCTAAGTGCTATAAACATTACCCACGTCTGCTGAAACCTGGAGAAACACACACCGTCTTTTCAGTCTATTTCCCGTGCTAACAGGCAAGGGAGGCTTTCTGATGCATTTGTTACTATCAGGGATCATGCTATCTTCACAAAACAGCGCACATACAGAACGCGTGTGGTTCCAGGCCACGGGCAAGGGTTTTATTCAGCCAACCAAAACTATGCTTTTGGTCTTCCCTCACTCCTATTTTACGGCAGCAGTTTGCTTTTTTTTAAACTCATGATAGCAGGACTGTGAGAAGCTGCTTATTCTTCCCCCTTAGGGAAATATCTGAGCGAAAGTTATATTTGTCACACCCTGATGACTTGCTTGAAAATGTTGCATTGTCTCATTCATCTTCTGCTGCTTCTGAAGCAAATCGTGAAGTACACAGGCAAATGAAGGGCTCCCTTCTCCCTCGGCAGTTCTGCTTCATAACCACTAGGTGAAGCTTTTAAAGTCTTGGAATAGAAATGTGTGTCCTTGAGCAAGGTGCAGCCTTCCCAGGAGACAAAATGCTCATTTACTGTCATGAATTTTACATGACAGCCTGTCCGTTATTATTTAGCTTGTAAGCTGGCATTTTTAGTGGGTATCTGCCTTCTGAGGTGATTTTTTTTTATTTTAAGAATAAAGAAAATGGAAATGTGTGCTTGTTTTTAACCCCCGCATAGTGCCACTAAAACTGGAGAGTAATGATTTTGGTGGATTCAATGACAAAAAGGGATGTTAATGCAATAAGAACGCACCACTCTATAAGTTAGATACCAACTACATTTTTGAAATATTCAAGGCCTATTTATTTGAAAGTTTATTTTCCTTTAAAATTAAAATCCAAGCACCTTGAAGAGATTGTGGTCGAAAAGGCGTGTGCATTGATGACTTTTTTTTAATATTAATTTTGTTTATCTGTGCACATATTTACCACAACCACCTTGTAGAATTATTCATCACAGAAGTATTCCTGTTTAATTAAAACGTCATTGAGATTTCAGCTCTTTGTCAAGCTCAGCACCTGCTCTGCACCAGGCCCTCAGAAATGTCAAACACGCAACAGGAAGAGATCCAAAGCGAACAATCAAGTGAATAATAATAATCTTAAAAAAAAGTTTGTTAATGTTATTCTGAGGGAGATAATCTTATGTTGCAGTAAAACATCTCGTTATTGCTCCAAGCAAATGCAGACGGATCTGACATCCAACTGTTTTATTCAGATGCGATCGCAATCGAACATTTATAGGCTCTGTGAAAAAAACAGGTCTACAAACATGCCTGACATTCTTAAACCAAGATTTCTATTTATAGCTAGTTTGCTTAAAAATGCATCAACCAAACAACAGGATTTTCAGAAAGAGGAGCGAACTGGTGTCTTACGTTCCATAAATAGCCCTTTGAAAATTCAGGCCAAGTGCACATGTATTACCAGAGAAGTCATTGGAAACTTGTAATCCTCTTGCTGGGTGGGAGAAGCTAGCATTTGCCTCAAATCTCTGCTGTAGGCTTTGCCAGCAATGATTTCCACAAACTGTGATAATAATAATCTTTGTATTTGATGTAGCGCCTTATCAAGTAGTGGAGACGTCTCAAAGCGCTTCAGAGGATATACTATAAGGTGAATTGACTGCATGTTTTGTCTGCTTATGGAAAACACAATGTTCTAAGACTTTTAGTTTAGGCATACGGACTGATGCCCCAAAACATTTCTCATCCAAAGTCCTCTTTGTTTGCTACTGATGTTTTCAGGGTAACATTGGTCCTGCAACATTTTGGCTCTTGGCGTTCCTGCTGAAACACCCAGAAGCAATGACTGCAGTCCTGGACGAAATCAACAGAAACGGGAAGCTCCACGGAAATAAAATTCAATTTAATAATCCGCTACTTACCATCAGTCAAGATCTTCTCGACAACACTCCTGTCTTCGGTACAGTTTACCTTTTGTTCTTCAAATTTTGTTTTGCTCGTTTCAGAATCACAAGCAAAGAAAGATTTTTTTTACAGATCGTTTGTTACGCATATCGTCAAATTCAAGCATTATTATTTGTAAAGTAATGTAGTCCTCAATCTATCTATTGACCCAGCTAGATTTACATTTTTTTTAAACATCTTTAATCTCCCGTCACTCAAATTACATTTGAACTGTTGGAATTGCTATCTTTTGATTTGATAGTCTCGAGCTCATAAATTTTCCAAATTGACAATGCCGTATTTTAGATCATTGGTTGGACTCATAATCTCAAATTTACATACATGTATTTCTTTTACTGGCATTAGTCTTTTAAAGACAGTAACTGGCCTATTTGTATTTAATGCATTAATCCCTATATCTGCATCAAATACAGTTGAACTTCACTGTAACAAAAGAACTTGATGACTATGGATTAGTCTTTAATAATAATAATAAAAATAGCCTTTCACCTGTGTGATCTTGGTGTAAATCCACTGAAAACTGGTGGAATGAAAATGTCCTTAATAAGCATGTGATGTACGTAATGATAACCCACAGGAACACTGCTTCATTGCAATCTTTTCCAAAGCAGAGTTCTTGCAGATTGGCATGATCTAAGTCTCTGCATCTGAGTACACATCAAGGATTCTCATCAGCAGTTCCAACGGGTTAGATCCTAGAGATCCTTCTTACAGACCCTTCTACAGTCACCGAGATCTCAAAGCAAACAGCCCTGAGCTCATACCAATAGAGATAATACAAAATCAAGCTTCTATGTGTTAATTAGATAACTATTATTTACTGTAATGTGCCAATAATTCATTTGTTTTGCACAATACAATGCTATGTTTCCTTTGCTATTAACAGATAGCATTCTGAATGAAATTCTGAGATTGACAGCAGCACCCTATATAAGCAGAGAGATTCTTCAAAATATGACCCTCCGGCTAGCAGATAGCAGAGAATATAATCTCCGAAAGGGAGACAGACTTTGCCTTTTTCCTTATTTAAGCCCCCAGATGGATCCAGAAATCTACGAAGAGCCTGAGGTATTTTCTATGGCACTTGATGTCATACTTCATATCTTTTATTAGAATTGTCTCATAAAGGAATAATCGCATGTTAGTAAAATCGTATTAAAATGAAATTAAAACAGTTGTATCTCCATTCTTCTGACTCAGGCAGGCTTTTGAATGTTTATTATAAATTTAATGTCAAATGATAATTAAACCTAGTTAAAATGGCTTGATGTTTATTGTCACTGACCCATAAAACTACAAACAGAAACTGAACACAAACTTTACAAGCATTATATTAGCTTTATACAAATGCTATATTTGTTGGTAGTTCATTTGCTCTATTGGGTAATATTGCCTTGTGCCCTCTGTTCCACCATCGGTGGCCGTATTTTCAGCCACTACGCCCCGAAAATCTGGAATACTCCTTCCTCTATCCCTCCGCCTCGCCCCTCCTCCCCCAACTTCAGGTCATGCCTGAAGACCTTCCTCTTCAACCGTGCCTACAGTCACCTCCACCCCAGCTCAGCATCGTGCTCTGCCACTATCAAGTGCTCTGGGACGCTACCCTGTGTGAGAGGCGCTGTCTAAATGCAAGTATAAATACGCACATTTTCAATCACAGGCTGATAGTCTTAAATGCAATCGCATTGGGATAGCTGCTATCTTGGTTTTTAACTGGTAACCATTTCATCTTTGGGCCTGGTATCATATTATTCCAGAACACTCTATATTACCCCAAACGCTTTTATGCACAAGGCCCTTCCTAAACTTCCAACGATAACACTTGCTATTGATTCTTACAGAAATTTAAGTACGACCGATTTTTGAATGCAGATGGAACAGAGAAAAAGAACTTCTTCAAGAATGGAAAGCAGTTGAAGTACTACAACATGCCCTGGGGTGGAGGGGGCAATGTGTGCATTGCACGAGTGTATGCAATAAACAGCATAAAATTGTAAGTATATAGATTAAAAGTACAAACTGAATATGTTATTCCCTTTGAAAGCCAAGGAAGTACCATTTCATCACATAAATCATTCCAATTTACACCAGACGCTATTTATCCAGCTCAGCTCGGTGAGGGATGTTAATGCCGTGAAAGATCCATTATCAGGCACTTAGCCCTCCCCGTATAGTTTAGATACAAAGCAAAGTTTGGCTAATTGCATTCTCCACGTGCCAAACTGGCCATTCTGTGGCCTTTCCGAAACTCTTAAGCCTAGGCCTACTCTTCAGTTAAGGTTCTAGTTTCCCGTCCAGAGGCTGTCAGTTTGAGTTGCAGTTTTGCGTATGACTTGATTCTGCTCAAGTCGACTGGGGAAATCTTGACAGTCCTGGACTCATGATTGCAACAAGATCTATTGTCTTAAGGGAGGGAGTGCAAACTCACATTGCCCTTTCTGTGCCTCCTGGAGTCATTTCACTGAGTGGGCATCTGGTCTTGAGGTTTGACCGTCCCCAGCTGGAAGGCATTCCATGCTGGATGACAGCCTGCAGTGAGAGAACACAGGAAGCCAAAAAATAAAAATCAATTTTAAAAATCGAACAAATGCCGCTGCCAAACATATGCAACACTATCTTCAAGTACGACAGTTAACTTCTACGTAAATTCTCCAACATACTCTCGTTATTGATCGTAACAAATTTTCTTCTATTTCTTTTCTTTTTTATATATATACATATATATAAAACACAGGTTTGTGTTCATGATGCTCAGTCAATTTGATTTCCAACTCGCTGACCCAGAAGCAAGAATTCCAGTCTTTGATACAAGCAGATATGGATTTGGGTTGATGCAGCCTGAACATGATATCATATTCCAGTATAAACCAAAGGTTGAATAGACCCAAGGACAACTGAGAAGTACACATCGCAACTTAAGTTGGAGAGGGATAAGCAATTTCTGACACTTTATGACTTCACACAGCTGCTTTGAGAAACCTCCTAACACGAAAGACCCTATATCAAATGCAAGGATCATTATCATTTCCATTAATAACTTGCGTGAGAATAAACAGACAGATTCACCTGTATCTGCTTCTAACCAAATGCCTGGTAAGTGACCTTAGCTGGGGAGATCCTGTTGGAGTACATCTGCCTCCAAGCACTCGTGGTTTCAGATCAATAGTGAGCTAGCTGTCTTTTGTTATATTCAGTGTCTGGTGCACATTTGCTTTGTGTAAGTAGAAAATGAAAGTAAAGATGCTTCACTTATGCACTGGTACCAATGCTAAGAAACAGCCATACTCTCATCAGAATCCCCTTTATTAACATCACACAATCCATCTTACATTATTCTTCACATGCCCCATGGAGAGCACATGCTGTCAAAGCTCAATATTAATAAAATAAATTCCTGGGCTGGATCTAAACGTAAGTGCTAACTGATTAATGTTACCCCCAAAAACGACCATCTCCTGAAAGGCTCAATCTTTTCATTTAAGTGATCCACCCATGGAGTTCAAAATGTTTCTACATTGTCCAGAAGTAAATGGACACATTCCAATCAGTGAGAGAGAACTGTAGAAGCATATGAGCTCAAGCTGGGATGGAATAGAGACAGAGATATTTATGTGGAGCACAGGTTCAGAAGACAAAACTCAAATAATCTCCTTTTCAGTGCAGCTTCTTGTTGTGCCTTCTTAATTCATACGGTCAATCATTTAACTTAAATTCATTTGGTCGTCTTTCCTCTCCTCACCTCCCCCAGCTCCTACCCTCAGCTCAGGTGTCAAGCCTGGATTGTAAGCACCTTGGGAAGTGCTCCCAACATGAAAGGCACAAAATAAATGTTTATTTGTATTGTATTGCACAGTCAATTGTTCATCTAGTGCTGCATTTAAACTAGATTGTTGGAAGTGGGTACATGTTAACATGATGTTTGTATTTTTTCTGAGCTATTTCCGTGGAATCTTGATTTTATCTGTACAGTTTTATTCATACGTTTTACAGACTTTACAAAGGCAGGATGCTGGTTGAACTGCTCTTTTAAACCATACAGCACCACTTATTACCATGGCATCAAGTGGTTTTGTTTTGTATTATTTATATCAAAAAGTATTTAAGATTATAATAAATGAAACTATTGTTCATGTCACTCAGAACATTGATGTGGATGGGAAGCCTTCTCTAGGCCAGGAAGAAAATGCTAATATTATTTTCCTGAACCTTTTATCACCTCTTTATCTATTTGTTTTCCTTCCAAAATGCCATTATATATCATTGATTTTGTTTGCTGGCTGAGGGGAGAGGGTTTAATGCGTAAGACAATGCTTTCAACATTGCAGGCTGAAAGTGACAATTTTGACCATATAATACACTTTGCCTACAGATTAGCATTGTGCTCCTTTAAGTAACAAACACACTACGGCAGTACATTGCTAAGTGTACAACATGTTTGTGCTCAAGTGCAATAATTTGTTTATAGGTTTCATGATGTATACTGTACATGGATATATACTATATACACACATACCAGCAATTCACCCTTCAAGAATCATTGTTGAAATTTGTAATGATGTTACATTTTCAAGAGAAAATTACAGTCTTAGAACAATTATTTTGACTTATTTTGACCAATGTAAATGCTAGACCAGTCTCCAAAATCTAAGGTTTTTTTTTCACAGTGTTTATATTTGGTGCAATATTCTAACTGATATTTAAGTATGACTTCATGTATGTCTTATGTGAATGTAAAATGCACTTTGTTGTGAATTCATTGTTTGACAATTATTTTGTAGAAGTTCTTAAGAAAAGGCAATTGTCTGCATTTAAATAAGAACAGGAATGAAGAAGGACATATTTGAATCCTTATTGGGACAGAAGCATAAAATTGCACTAACCTAACATTTCACAGACTAAAACACAACAGGAAACTGCTTTGGATCATTCGAATATGAAGAGACAATCTCAATGGACAATAGATATAATACTGCAGTTAGTAACAGGTACTCACCAACCAAATACAGTCACAACACTTCACAGTATATCCTCCAAAGCCCTTTGAGCTGTCCTCTGGCCGTGAAAGTTGTTGTATCAAATGCTAGGATTATTATTTATTATTAAGACCAAAGTGGTTTCCTGTTGTAAATCAACAACATTTTAGTCAAATACAGATCTAATTCAGTTAATATTATAAGTAAAACACCAGCACAAATGATGGGACACAATTGTTGAGCACTGGTTATAGTTTGCGTTGCTGCCTTTCCTAATTGTGTCAGTCACATTCCTATATCCAAAATGCTAATGTTATTCATAATTTTGTGCTAAATTAATTATTGTAATAACTCATTCCAAGTGTTTCACTGCAAATTGCCTCTCAAGTGAAATGTTATTGTATTGCTGTTCAGTTCATAGGAACGTTATTTTGAAGAAAGTTTACCCGATTCTGTCGGTCTCAGTACGACAATTTATTTTAAAAAACGATTCATATTTTTTTTCAAAATTGTTCTCTCTTACCTGCGGTGCTCACTCCACTAAACATGAAATCAATTCTCAGAAATACTAGAGAAGATAGTTTTTTTAAAATATAAGCGTACTGTGCCAAACATACAGATACAAGACCTGCTCAGTGTAATCTATTTGAATAATATCTCTGAAATGCACCTGCAGTGTGCCTTCAGACATTAATCCACAAACAGTAAAGGAGCAGCAAATAATAATTCTTTGTCAATGTCATCCTCACACACGGATTGATTAATGGAGGCATTTATTGCACTTTTCCAAAAGTAATTATGATTACTTATCATGACAGTAGGGCAGTACACAGCAGGCAAGATTTCCTTTCGTCACCAATCAGCAATTTTACTATAGGCCTTGTTAGCAGAGTTGCGTAATAAATGTTGAATAAATTGCAATTGCTTTATCAAGTACATGTCACTGGAGTTTACATTGTTTAGCTGGTGATGGATGGAAATAGAACAAAACCCAGAGAAGTGAAGACATCTTCTTTTAACTTATTTCCTTGGTATATACGTTTTGTACAAGGCCATTTTGCAATTTATTTGACAGGGCATTTATTATCCTCTCCTTGTTCTGCTCAGCTTAGTGAAAAGGTTCAGGATGCAACACAACATACCTCGTCCCCAAAATATACAGTCCACTCACTTTACAGTGTATTCTGTTAAGCACTTTGAGACGTCTCAATATCTCGACTTGATAAGGCGTTATATCAAATGTAAGGATTATTAATATTATTATTATTAGGACTCCCAACCTCTGTAATACAACAAAGGACTTCTGATGAGATGTGAGCACCCTCCCCTTCCCCATTTTGCTTGGATCATATTTCCATATTGCTACAGAAAGCTGTTGAAGTTTCTAAACGAGCACAGGAAGTAGAGCCTACAGTTTAAGACTGGCTGCCGCAACACAGTCTACCCAAAGCACAAAATTGTTTGCTTCGTACACATTGATTTTCTGAACTATTCCAAGGTTTAATGGAAGCCCCATGAGGCGTTCGAGGATTCGGTTTCATAAATGCATCCTGATAGCATCAACACATGTGAAAATAGAATATAATATGTCTACTTAAATATTATGCAACAGAATGATTTTATAGAATTGTAAAGAACATTATAGTCTTTTAAAAATATTTTTTTCCCCTCCAAATCCATCCCCCCCACCCCACACACTTAGGGTTAGGGTCACACACACACCACTGACATCCAAGCTTTTAATAATAATAATAATTTTTGCATTTGATATAGCCCTTATCATGTCACAGAGATGTCTCAAAACACTTCATGCAATATATTGTAAAGTGAATTGACTGTGTACTTTGTGGCCACAAATCTTTACTCAATTCCCTAACTCAACTTCCGTGTGGCTGCATCGGAAAGTCACCTTAAAAATCTACCTCTTCGACCAGGCCTCCACCCTTCCCGGTAAGACTACAGGAGAGTGTTTATCTGACATCCAACTTATGAATCCAGCACAAGCTTGGGATATAGAGGCTGATTCCGAGCTGGTTACAAGCTGGTTGCAGCCTGGCAAGTTTGGCTGCATTTAAATTTCCAGCCCAATATTGTGCATATCCCAGATAAGACTCCCTTAGGCTAAAGTCAGAAATTAAATCAGCTATGTCTCAGTCCCATAGGTAAATTGTATTCAACATGCCATAAGGAAATTGCTATGTGAGAGAACATTTGGAAAACCGTCAAACAATACCGCGTGCCTCTTCCACAAATCCGAACGCTGAAAATGTATTGCTATTCTGTGGCAAACCATCTTATAAGGCAACACAAATAAATGTGCCCATGTCAACGACTGTAAGAAGCAGTAATGTCTCATTCCTCTTCTCAGTGTGAAGCCATATTTATTGCACACTCATTAAGTCATGGCATTTTAAAACCCTTACAGCAACACGGGCACCTCTGAAAGAAACTCAGCGAAATGAATAAAAAATGCTCATTCTCACCGCAGTATTCCTTAATCAATTGAAATTCAGATAGTGATTAGACTGTGAACACTCCACCCAATCCACCGCAGACCTGCCTACTTCAAAGAGGGGCCTACAGAACATACAACTAGTCATATGGTTCTGAGTCAACTCAACAACTAGAGCTGTCAAAGTCGGTTTGCTTATCAGCACAAGAACATAGAGCACAAATTTACGTCCGTTTAGTTCTGTTGCCAACATTGGCAGATTCACAATGTGAAAGACTCCTTTGTGTACTTTTGCCCCTTGACACAGTTCTCCTTGAATTCTGGGTCTTACTGCAGCCATTGTCAGACCGTGGACCTATCAGATTAATGTGCAGGCAGCGTCTCGTTTAGTGATGGTGATAGCTAAAGGCCAGTTAGGGGTTTCCCAGAACATTATCAGCCGAGGGAAAAAAATACACTTCTTATATCTTACTGTCAACGAATTTTGAAGTTAGAAGTGACAATCAATAAACTGATTCAATAACCAAATTAATATTTCGAATTGCATTCAGAGCACCAGGGTCAGCAGTAGTCACAGTGGATTATCAAATTTGACCCTCGTCTATTAAACTAGGGCAACTCTGGTTTTAGCTGGGACTGCATTTGGGAACACAAGTTCCCCCTTTCTATTCGAAAAGTTTGATCAAAACTGTGAACATTAAAGCCATGTGGTTGTTACTTTACATTCCCTCAGCAATTTCTAGCATATCCTATTTCTTAAATTGTAAAGACAAGGTTTCTCCTCCACACACACACACACACCACCTCCAACCACCCACCACCACCCCCCACCACACACACTATGCCTTTTTTAATTCCAGCGTTTCGAAATTAAACTGAAGATTCATTTGAAAGTATTAAGCACGGTCAATTATAAAAACTAATACATGTGTAATTGCGGAAGTAATTGCATGGATTGACTAGGAAAATTGAATAATTAAAGGGCATATGATGACCTCAGTGGATTACGGTTGTCCAATCTTGTACTAACCTTGTAAATCCTTTAATCTGCCTCTGCACAACAATGGAAAGAGATAAAAGAGATTAAATGGGATCTGAGTTCAGGAACCCTGATGTGTGTTTGGCGGTGGCCTTCAGTCAGCTAACTATCCGTACTGTGTATGCAAAGCTTTTGGAACTAGAATTTACATTAAAAATATCTGATTGACAGAAAATACAAAGCCAACAGCTATCAATTTGCAAAAAGAAAATATCTTTGTTCAATATGCTGCTGTAATACTATTGTAATAACATTACTTTTCTGTGAGGGTCTAAATTAATTTAATGCTTTATCTTTTTTATAAAAAA